CTGGGTATAGTCCATACTGGAGAGGAAAGCCTGCGCTTCTAAACGCGACACAGTTGCTGCTCCTGAGAAATCACTAAAAAAAGGCTGGGCTGGACATTCTCAAGAAACTCTGCGTGCCACCGTCGATGAGTAGCCGAAGCATATTCGAGCTATAATTAGTAGAGGAGAAGGTTATATAAGATGACCGTGTGTTCGTTTTGTAGATGCGTTGCATAGCAAATAGTTCATATGAATTCACGATGCATCGATAAAAACTTCGGTCTCCGTAGCAAAATTCTTTTGTTACCATATTTATAGCGCACCCTGTATATATGGCACATCTTCGAATGAATTAAAATAAATAAGCAATTCGACAACTAAATCAATAACCAAATAAGGAAGTAGGTAATAAACAAGTATGTAGTAGATGATTAAACAGCCGAGTGACCATGTAAAAAAAATGAATAAATGTCGTAAATATTATGTTTTGCATGAATCAAGAGTTTTTTCGACAAAGACAACTTTCATCGACGTTTTGCTTATTTGGTTTATGACTTTACCACTCCCTAAACTACCATCCCGCACTGTAAAATGGTTATTGATTTTGTGAGCGCAAAATCAATAATCATTTCAATACCATGCTAATCTGTTCTGTTCATCTTCAATACGTCTGTAAGAGACTTGAGCTGCTGTGAGCTGCTGTCCATTTTCAAAAAAGAGCCTGCTGTTGATACGTTGATGGAATTGTAATAAATCTATCAATTTTAGGTGTCAAATGCTGTCTCAGCCCTGGTTAACGACCTTTCGTTCGATCCCGATTATCTTCGTCGATTTGTCCTCGTGACTTTCAACAATAATAGTAAATTAATCGAAGCATTTAAGTCATGAGGACATATGATTCAACTTTTCCTTTCTAGGAATGTCAACGAATACCTATACTGATTCCGAAAAGCTACTGATTGCACTGACCGCGGCTGCAAAAACCACTGATTCAAATGGAACCTGTGTAGACATCGATTTTATTGCTCTCAGGTGATTCTAAACTGTGAAAAAGTGGGCTTAGATGCTCTAGGATGTATCTGAATGGGTAACGTAATCTATAGGAAAAGCAACTAGTTGTCAAGATATGGCTTCGAAGTCATAGACGAGGAGGAATTTTTGATTGAGTGGGGACACTCTGAGCGCGCAACTAGTATATCCTTTTTTATGCTGCGATATGTGGACCAAATTGCTTGAGTGCCGACTCTATACAGCTCCAGAACTTTAATGATATTTCACGTACACATTTAGGATTTTTGAGGCCAATCACTGGCTTCTGAATTTCCTATAGTGAAGACGCTCATTCATTAGGAGAGCGCGATTCGTGCCCTACGTCATAAGTCACGACATTCAAGAATGTCTGGCCAGACCTGACCATGCTGTGGGAAATTTGTTCAACGGATGTATAGAAACTTGTAAGGTTGACCATTTCGACTTAGGGGTTATCATGAGTTGCTGGTGCAACAACCATATGTGGTTAAAAGCGATTAAAACTCGCCAATCCCATTTATGAATGCGCCATGCAGTAGCCTTCCAGTTTGAATCACAAAGGCTTTTGAATGCATCTCTTTCCCATGTAACTAACGCCGGAGCTAGCTGAAAGGTCAAACCTCTTCTCGAACAAATCCATTATTGATGAAGAAGCCTCAGGATAATAACAGTAAAGCCATTCTATGCGGAATTCCATCGCAGATTGATATCTAGCCTACTGGCATGGTTATGGCACCACTTCTCCATTAACCTTGACGACTAGGCATAGTGCACAAATAAACAACGGGTTGTACCTGGATCTTTGACTTTGCCTACTGTAGAAATCGAATGAAATTGTTTGAAAATTCAAATTTTTACAGTGCCGCTTTGACGCAGTATCTCACATACAAGTCGCCGGTATACGTGATCACGGACGCCTTACCCAGTGATGGCACCGAAGTCGATAATGTCTATCACCTGGTCAACGATTGGAGATCTCCGGTATATAATATTACTTGGACTAATTTCTAGTAGATAGACACAAAATCGGGATCTTTTCAATAAAAAGAGCATCTGGGTGCAGGGCAATAATGGCGATCTCAACATCTTCGAGGCAGATGATGAGGATAGCTAAGAAGTAAGAGCCCTGCGGGGAATGGAAGCGTAGGGAGAGCATAGAGAGCGGAAGCAAATTTTTGTGATTACCGTAATCAGCCTCAACAAGCTGATTCCGTAGTCATTCTTTCCAGGTATATTTCCTCTACGTGGAGCCGTTACCGGAATCCGGATGTGCGACAAGCATCGAAGACCCTGCCTACCGTCTTATGGATACCGTTGCCCAACGATCAGCAGGACAAACCTTCTATTTTACAAGTCATGCAACAATCGGAACTGTGAGTGTTCAAAAAGTCTCATATTCAGCAATGGCTTTGTCTTGAGGGCAAGATATTCCCAGAAAGGCATTTTTTTGGTTCGCCACCTAATTACGTTTGTTTCAGTTCTTGACCACGCACATGTTGAATACCTTGTATAGAACGCAGATGCTGCTTTCCAACGATTTACCGGTCTGTTCCAATCAGCTCGTTTATAAGTCGGTCTCGGTTGATTCGTCGATTCAAATGCTCGTCATTGTTGCTACTGGACGTGAGTATTACTTACTAGAATCATAATAACTTAACTGCTGAGCTGTTGCTTATCCGAGTCAAAAAGAGGATCTCGCCATAAAGGTATGTAGTTCCTTAGAGAATGTGTTAAATAAGTGAATAAATTAGTGGATTAAAAGGTGGGTATGACAGATATCCTCTTTTGTATAGGTGTGATGTATTTAGTGATAGTTGATCAATGTAAACGGTCATCCCCATTTTTTGAGTCTGACATTCATTCATAGGCTGGGCTCAAAGTCGAGCTGCACGATGGTTTTTGATTCTGTGCAAGCAGTGGCCATGATCATTCCAAGCATAAAAAACCCTCTCAATCCGACCACTAGTCAAATTCAATATAAAAGGTGTCTACTGGAAGGGGTCGAAAATAAAGGCCCTTGTGCTCTTCGGAACGTACCGGAATTAAAACACCATCGGGCCAAGACAGGTTGTAGAGATTTTCTATGTTCCCTCCCGCACTTCTTGGCTGATACCCGTTCACTGCCCTGTATTAGACCTGGGAGATTCCCAATCTCAAATATTCATGTAGCTTAGTCTGAATTGGTGTGGGTAACGTGAAGAAGTTTCAGGAACTGTTTCGATTTATTGACTTACGAGCTTTTTATCGATCACGGTTCTTGGGAGTGAAATTGTCCCTGCATTAAACACACGGGTCCATTGTGAAGCGCGGCATCGCGACATTGCAGTGTCCGGCCTTGGATCTTCACTTTCTTTGCAATGTAGTGAATATCATGAGCTTTTCGGCTCAAAATTTCAATCGAAGCG